CTTAGTATTTACATAACAAATAGAGCAAAATAAAACTGAAATAACCAACTGACCACCAGCTAACCCTAGGATGACTAGAACACCTTCTACCCTACGAACACAGTGGGACCATAGCTGTGGGGCCCACATCAGTGTTCTCTACAAGTATAAAGACAGAAATACCCCTACACTTACACAACTTAACAACCATAGAATTATCTCTTGCTTTGGTCTGGTAATGTGCTAGTCTCCATGGGCCACCCTCCTTGTCTCCTAGCCACTTGATGGTATTTGCAGAATCTCCACTGATAGTTAATTGCAAGATACCCAACTTTTTGGCAATGTGAATGCCTGTGAAGGCAGCCATAATTTCAGCCTTTTTTTGAGTTGGCAATCTTAATCGGTCCACTTAAAACCTAGAAAACATTTTTGTCCTTCCCTTTAATTACTCCAATTCTGACAACCCCTGGATCACTAAAAGCACTCCCATCAAAATTAAGAGATAACACCCCTTCCTGTTGCCATAGACTTGGGGGAGGAATAAAGGTTTGGGGTAGGAGAAAAGGAAGTTCACAACATTTCTGTGAAGATCATTTACCAAGATTCCTTTGAAGTGCTTGGAAGTACTAACCGACAAAAAACACCTGTGAGTAATATGTTAAATTGAGTACTCCTATGATCGCGCTCTGTTAGCAAATATTCAGTTATTTTTCTCTTCCCAAACACTCCATATTACTACATGACCAACAATTTTCCAAAAGATTTTGCCTCTATTACTGAGGCCTCTGCCTTGGCATTGCCACCAAAAGTCTGCAATCTGTTTGGAAAACCCAACTGTATCCAATCAGGTTAAGAAAATGATACCATATTTTCCTAGTTACCTGACAATGAAGGAGAAGATGATCTGTTGATTCCCCATCACTAAGGCATAAACTGCAAACATGAGGAGAAAAGTAATTTTTACCTTTGTTCTTCTGGAGGAGGTCATAAGTATTAATTCTCTTCAAACAAACTTTTCACACAAAGAAGTAGACTCTGGAGGGAATGTGAGAAACCTAGGGGTGCTCATGGTTCGGTTAACCGAACCGTAGGGTATTTTCTTTAACCAAACTGGTAGTACCGGTTTTTGGAAAACCGGTAACCGGAACTGAACTGAAACCAGTTAGTTAACCAATTGATTGGTTCAGTTCGTTGGTTTTTCGGTTTTTTGTTTTTACAATATATTATCAAAATATATAAATATATAATAAAATATTATTAATATATATAAAATATTATATTTTAAATAATAAATAATATATAATATATTATAAATATATATTTATATATATAATGCATATTTATTAAAAACACCGAACTGAAACTAAACCGACCGGTTTGGTTAACTGATTTTTCGGTTCGGTTTCGGTCGGTTTGGTTTTTTTGGTTTTTTTGCTCACCCCTAGAGAAACCCAAACTTTCTTATAGGAAAGAGGCAAGGGGTCTGCTCTTCTGTAATTGGAGCATCGAAAAAAATACTTAATTGAGAAAATGCAGGAAGGGTGAAGGGTTCAAATACGATGATTACAAAGGGAGGGGGCTGAATGTAAACCTCCCCAAGGGTATTATGCAACTCAGAAATTTCGGTGATTTCCAAATCTCTTAGAGCTCTTATAAGGTTCAGATTCCAACTAATTCAAGGAAGATACAGAGAATGACTGGAGGAAATAGTGGCATCGTGGTTCAGGGTAAGGCTGAAAACCTAAGGGAAACAGCCAAGGTGGAATCACCTCACCAAAAATCAGTCCAGAATTTTATTTTGTTACCATTCACCACATTGTATCTAATGAAGGAGATAAAACTATTATATGAAGACATTTCCATGGATTGGTTTCTTTGACTCGGTTCAAGTGAGTTTTGCTATCGCAGCCATTGGGTTGGATCCTTTCTTGAAATCTATAATTTCTATTTTCATAAGTTTCATAGGATAGTAGTATGATTAAAGGAATAGTTAACATTGTTTTGAATTGGTTATTCTTAGGAGGTTGCTAACCATATAAATTTGTTAATTAGGTTCTATTGAAGATGCTTCCAAAATATTACGAACATGTAAAGAGGCACGACAACACACTCATAACAAAATTCTTTGGGCTCCATCATATTACATTGAGAGGTGGACGGGAGGTATATAGTCCACAAGTGCCTTTTATTTTGTATGTTGCCTTTTTGATTGGTGCTCAACCATTTTCATTTTCTATCTTCCTTTTCACTTGGTAGGTGCGATTTGTTGTCATGGGAAATATGTTCTGCACAGGACTAAGAATTCACCGTCATTATGATTTGAAAGGCTCATCTCATGGAAGAAGTACAAACGAACATGATATTGATGAAAATACCACATTGAAAGATCTTGATCTGAAATATGAATTTTATTTGGACAAGTCCTTGCGGGATTCCCTTTTTAAGTACGTCTCAATTACAACAGTGCATGGTGGTATCTTTTGCAATATGTTTTTTGATTGGCCATTAGGACTGGTTTTGTCTCAATTCATAGCTATGTTTTCTTTTCATGGGATTTTTTTTTTTTTTGTTTTTTAAACTCCTTAAATAGCCAAGCATTGAACTGTATGTGAAAATTCCCTACACAATTTATGTTCCACATGATTGGATCCTTTTCCTGAAACATGTAGATAGGTAACAATCTGGAATAAAGGTAAAAAACAATAAAATGGAAATATCAATAATTAACCCAGAATTTTTTATGTGATAAATACTAAGCTAATTACTATATAACTAATTTTGGATAATAATTATAAGAGTATAGTATGAAACCAGGCACTAGAGCTATGGACATTGAACAAAAACAATGTCTTTAAGAAGTAATGAGAATATAGGAATTTAATTCCAACCATCATTTTTGTGGCAATATAAAACCAAATAAGGGGTGTTTCAGATTTTGAGTGATTTCAAAGGGTAAACATGCCTAAAACCAACCCCCTAAAGCAATTTTGAAAAGACAAAACTAAAAAAAAAAGGTTATGAGGCATCGAAACACCCGATACACCTGTTCGTTCATATCTGGTGTATCAATACTTTGAACATTGCTCCCTTAACAGATATAGGGCATACTTTTGTTGTGAAGTGAAGATTCCATGCTTGTATTGGCTACTTCCTAGAAAGTATTTCAGTTCTCCAAGATTCTTGATCCAAATTCCTACTACAAGGACCTTTAGAGCACATCTATGTCCTCAAGGTCACTTTTTATGGCAACAATATTATCAACATATACTCATTTATCAAAAAAAAAAATATTATCAACATATACTATTAGAACTGCTAGGAGAGACCCTTTCCTCTTTAAAAAGAGAGTATGATCAGACTATGTCTGCATATAGCCAACCCAAAAACAAAGCTCCTCTAATGTGTCAAACCAAGCTCTAGGTGGTTGGTTTAAACCATATAATGACTTATTCAACTTACACACCTTTTTCTCATCAACATCATTGTAGAACCTCATTGAATGATCCATATACAATTCCTCTTGTAAATCTCCATTAAGGAAGGGATTTTTAACAACAAGATGAAAGAGTGGCCAAGAACAGGTAGTGGCCAAGGAAAGAAGAACATGAACCGAGCTCATCTTAGCCACAAGAGAAAAGGTCTCCAAGTAGTAAACTCCATAGATTTGTGTATACCCCTTTATAATTAATCTCGTCTTGTACCTTTCTTATTGTCATTAGCTTTAGTACTTCACATTTAACACTCATTTGCACTCCACATTCTCCTTATCAGTAGGCAAATCAAGAATCTCCCAAGTCTGATTTTTTATATCAAAGCCTCTATTTCATCCTACATTACCTCCTTCCACTCAGGTTTAGATAGAATCTTATTAATATTCATGGGCATAGACACAAAAGAAAGAGAAGATAGGAAAACACGATATGATGGTGAAAGTGAACTATAAGAGATGGTGGGAAATGCAATGGGCTATGGAGGTGGTACACTTTCTCTTCCCCTTGTAGAGTGCAGTGGGAAGATCAAGGTCATTAGGTGCAGGTGTGTCCTCAATTGTAATGGGTGTGGAATCATCAACAGGGACAAGAGGCATACTTTCACTGTCACCTAAAATCTTGTGAAGCAGCGCGAAGAGGAGTTGATAAAGGAACAAGAACTACCAAAGGGGTAGAGATTGAAAGAGAAACAACCCTCATATGAGAACACTCCCCCTGAGAAGAAATACCAAAAATAGAACTGACTAGACTCAAAAATGGTAATGCACATAGTAACATATCAACCCCTAGACATTGGATCATAGAAATAATAACACTTTTGGTTCTAAGCATACTCAAGGAAAACACACTTCTTTGCTTTGAGGATCAAATTTACTATGATGAGGTCCAAGAATATGAATAAAACAAGTGCATCCAAAAACCCGCAAAGGAATATGAAACAACTCACCTTTAGGAAACAAAACACCATAAGGGGTCTTAAAACCAAGAATAAAAGGGCATATAGTTAATTAGTAAGACTATACTAGAAACAACATCACCCCAAAAACATAGGACTCCTGGGCACCTCTACAATGTGTATGTTTTTTTTTTCTCTCAACCACTTCATTCTGTTGTAATGTATGAGAACAACTACTTTGATGAATAACCCCATGCTCCAAGAGGTAGGATGCTAGGTCTTTATCAAAGTATTCCCTAACACTATTAGATCTAAAAATCTTGATCCTCACCCCAAACTGTGTGAGAACCATTTGGCAAAATTTCCATACTAGAGATGGAACCTCATTATGAGAACACATTAAATAAAGCCAAGAGAAACATGAGCAGTCATCTACCAAAAAGAAAGACTTGAATTACTCATAGAAGGAAGCTGAGAGTTGGAGCTCGAGGAAGAAGACCTTGAATCTCAGCGTGAATCCCAGCAGTTCTCTTCAGTGGTTCCCAACAAAATTGGCGAACCACCTAACCCCTGAGCGAAGGAATCCAAGGTGTATCAAATGCAACGATTTGGAGAAGCTAGAAAATAGAGAGTGGACAGTACAAATAGAGAGCAGTGGCGATTATAACTTAGATGATTCAGATGAAACCTCGACTTTGGTCAGCATGGACCTGCAAGGAAAACTTGTTTGAGACAAGGAGCTTGAGTACGGAGCTTCTGTTTCTTGAAGATGAAGGGGCTGGCAGTGGTCTCTCAGGGGAAGATTGAAGTGAAGGTGTCGCCAACTTTGTAGTACAAACCTCACACCCCAACGACGACAAAGTTAAGCCAAAACCTCAAGATTCACAAGTTATAAATATAGAAGAACAGACCTCTCTCTTGAGCACAGATAAGGGTGTTTTAGGAAGGATAGAATAGGGTTCAGGTTTTCAAGAATGTAGGCAAGACGGTGGTGGTTGCGCTACCATGTCCACTCCGCAGGAGTTGCCTTGTAGGGGACTGACACCAAACTCGTTAGCAGTTGGCCAACAGTCTAGCCTGAGTGGCCATTGTGCTCTTTCTCCTCCTCCAGGTATCGATGTCAATTTGGTTTTAGTTACTGATAGGTGTGTTTTGCCTGAAATAGGTGTACCAGCATCCCATCTAGGTGGCAAAGCAAAGGAAGGAGGTGGGGAGGTGGTAGTGAGGTGAAGGGAGGGGAGGGAAATAAATTTTGGGCTCTAATTTGTACAGAGTTTGGGGAGCTCAGTCGAAAGGAAGGGTATAGTGCAACGGTGAAGGTGGATGGTAATGGAGAGTTTGACCTTGATGTAGGAGTACATACTCTAAATGTGGGTTCCACTAATGTGAGGGGTCAGGTGAGTGTAAGGGATGGCAGAGAAGGAGAACTGAAAACAAATAATGAGAAGGGTGAGGAATTTAAGAGAGTGAAAAGGAAAGAAAAAGATCTGAGGTGGAAAGATTATTGTGTGATATTGATGGGGATTTAGAGTTTAGCGGGAGGGGAGATAGGAGGAAGAGTGGGAAGTAAGGAGGATGGTCACAAGTTGAGGGTTTTATTAACTTCTTTCCTATGAGAATAGTTAGTTGGAATGTGAGAGGATTGGAAAGTGCAAGGAAAAGGAGGGTGATTAAGGACCTATTTGAAGGAAGGTTAGGATCCACCATATGGATGGTCGAACCATGCTAGATGGTTGGGCAAAATTTCAAAAATTTTCTTAACCTTACAGGAATCGAATTCCGTGTTTTTAGAAAAACTGCATTTTTCTAGGGTTGATCTTGTACTGAAACTGGATTAGATTTGAAACCAAAACAAGAGGGAGATGTATACCTGATACGGATTCCAAAAATGTATTTCCCAAGGTGGAAGTTTACTCCCAAATCAGTCCGTAAAACCAGCTTCCATTGAAGATGGAACAGCTTGAAGTTGAAGCCGGTTCAGCAATGCAGTTTTCAGCAAAACTGCAATCCAAATCCTTGGATCGAACTAGGGAGGTGAGCACGAATTTTCTCTGAATTTTTCTTGCAAAAATCAGAGAAAGAACTGATCTTTATCAGTCCCAAAAAGTGAGGTCAAACTAGGGTTTCTTGAGTGACAAGAGAAGAGAGAGAGCGAACTTGCAGTAGTGTTCTTGAGCAGTTCGCCCTCTTCTTCTTTTATACTTTATGGAGCACTTCTCCTAATCGAATTAGGAGATTTATCCAAATCTTTATTTCGATCTGGACTCTATCAAGAGATAGATCTTATCCTCTTAAGAGAACGGGTGCTCCATACCCATATCCAAAACCCAGATTCGCCCATGTCACATGACAACTTAATTAATCATATTAATTATGGGTTGTTGGCCCATTAGCTATATGCTTCACGACCCAAGAGTGTTGCTTGGATAGTTTAGATTTGATTGTATGGCGTGGGACCCCACAATTACCTCACATAAGCCCACATGGGTTCAGCACAGTCTCTGTGAAAAGGCCTGGCCGAATTCACTACCAAACGCAATGAACCCCTGAGCTCATCACTATGGGCTCAAATTGGGCCCAACATTTACAGTTAAATGATCCTTGAATCTAGCCATTCTATGAAGACCCAAGGATAATGGACTTAGGATATAGCCCATCAAGTAATCAACCCTTAATGGTCTCTTACACTTAACCTCTCAGCCCATAATGATCAAACACTGCCCGACAGGGAAGGACCTCTCCCCTGACTGCAAGGTGTAGTGTTACACTTTCTACTTGGATGGATCCCGGGAATTAAAACCTTTTCCAACACTTTTCTTAAAACATAATATATATATATATATATATATATTTTACCAAACCAAATCTCAAACACGGTTGAAATCCACTGCCAGAAGTTTAGGTTTCCATCAGAGAGAGTGCAGTTCCGATCATTCACTTTGTCCGACAAAGGAGTTGATCATATCACTATGATCACCCACTTAAGTGAATTCTCAGACTCCTCCAACATACCCAGGTTTTGACCCATAATGGATCTTACTGATTGGCCTATCAAAGA